TTTTCTTTTATGGATTCATTATTGATTAATATTGCTTTATTTTGCCACATTATTTATTATTTATTTTTTTTATTCTTCTTTTTATTTCCATTCTTATTTTATCATTCTTTTATTGATTTATTTTTGTAATTTGGTGCTCTCACTGCTCCATATTATACTGCCCAAGACATTAACACCATTGCTTGGCCAGTTTAACCGCGCTGTGTGAATATCATCCTGCACTGCTGTTCACAAGCAAACCAACTATTTTCAGTAAAAAACAAAACAAAACACAGAGAGCAAGAAAGAAGGAACAGAAAGTGTTGAGTGATGCTCTTTGTGACCTCAGGGCCGCCTCCGACCACAGCGTGGACAACAGCACAGCGATGCTTCACGAGTGGCTCAGAGGAGTCCAGCACCGGTACCACTCTGTGGAGTGGAGGCCCACGGAGCAGCCGAGGTGAATAAAAACCCTCCATGTGTTCACAAGTCTGATGCTGTTTAGTGGGACGATAACAAACCTGCCTGATGTCCTGTGATCCTGAAACCTTTAGTACGCTCCTAGAAGTGGAACAGCCTCATAAACCTTATCCGTTTCCTGACCGTAGCCTCAGTGGAGGAAGCTTTTGGCTTGCAATAGAAATGACTTTTGAAAAAGTTCTTCAACTAATTGTTTGTGGAGTTTGGTTCCATTTTAAAGGGCTACAAGGTGGCTTGATGGTTGGCACTGCTGCCACACAGGATCCCCATTTCCTTAAATATACAAGACCAGTGCCTAAAACTTGCATTAATATCTTTAGTATCATTCAATATAGCTCCATAATCGACCCCTGGAATCCTTTTTTGAGTTATGAAAGGTTTCTCCAGAAACCTCTTCTCTGAACTGAGCTGCTAAAGGTTCCTCCTGGAGCTCCCCAAGCAAAACCCCAAGAGTTCCTCGAGGTTCCTCCTGATTCTAAGAGAGGATTGTGTCTCTCAGCTCTTTTGCAGACGAGGAAGGACCCAAACACTGGCCCGACTCTCGGTTTGTCCATGTGATGAAGCTGAGGCAGGCGGCACTCAGAGCGGCCAGACGGCTGTGGACCGACTACATCCTGGTGAGACGGTCAAACACAGGAACTGTCTGATTATCCATCTGTCATCTGTTAATGTTTCCTCTCCGTCCATCAGTTTGTGGACAGCGACAACTTGCTCACTAACCGCCAGGTGCTGACTGACATGATGGCGGAGAACCTGACGGTTGTGGCTCCCATGTTGGAATCAAAGAGCCTCTACTCCAACTTCTGGTGCGGTGTGACTCCTGAGGTAACCACAACAAGCTGCGGTGCATCATTTGTGCGGTGAATCTACTGAAAACTGTAGGAAAGCAACCGTTCTTCATCTTCAAATGCACGTGTAGGGCTACTACAGGCGAACCCCCGAGTACATCCCCATCCGTAAGTGGAGGCGGCGGGGCTGCTTCGCCGTCCCCATGGTCTACTCCACCTTCCTGCTGGACCTGAGGCGCAGAGCCAGCAGAGACTTGGCCTTCTACCCTCCTCACCCCCAGTACCCACACCACCTGGACGACATCATGGCGTTTGCTTTCTCTGCACGACAAGCAGGTCAGACCTTCGTCAATCTGAGATGCAAAAGA